GTATTATTTTTAGTACCTTTAGGTAATCTTCCCCTGAGTACTATTTTTAGTACCTTTGGGTAATTTTCTCTGGGGTACTATTTTTTATACCCTTGGGTACTTTGCCCCTGGGTATTCTTTTTGGTATTCTTGGGTACTCTTCCCTTGGTAAGGGAATAAATTGGACGAGCTTCACTCAAGTCGTCACTCCTTTAATAAGGAAATTAAATTTTACGAACTTTACTCATCTCATCCCCTTTAGTAAGGAATTTTTATTTACTATCCCTTATAGTACGGGGATATTAATTACGGGATTCATTCAGCCCAGGTCCTTATAGTACAGGACATTTATTTACTATCCCTTATAGTACGAGGATATTGATTACGGGATTCATTCAACCAGAGTCCTTTTAGTACAGGACATTTCTTTACTATCCCTTATAGTATGGGGATATTGATTACGGGATTCATTCAGCCCGTTCCTTTAGCAAAGGAATAAATTTTACCAGTTTCACTCAGCTCGTCCCTTTAGTAAGGGAATTATGTTTTACGAGCTTCACTCAACTCGTCCCTTTAGTAAGGGAATTAGGTTTTACGAGCTTAAATCAACTCGTCCCTTTAGTAAGGGAATTAATTACCACATAGGTATAACACGTGAGGGGGAGGATCATTTTTTGACTTGACCTTTGTAGGTTAAGTCCTGATCTCTAATGACCATACTTTTGTCAGTTAGGCCCTGGTCTTGATCTCTGATGACCAGACTTGGGGTGACCGGGCACTGATCTTGGATGATCGATCCTTTGTAGACTTTGGGCAATCAATTCTTAATCTTGGTTGAAGAGGCCCTGGTTTTGGATAACCAAGCCTTGATTTATGATAACCAAAGGTTGTACCTTTCCCGGTGTGTAGAGACTTACCTGGTTATGGTTTTGGAGGATCGAGCACCGATCTTGGACGACTAGCGCCCCCGAGGGGTCGCGAAAGGAAAGAGACTAAAAACCCGACTAGCTCGATGTACCAAGGTACGTCAATCTTCTAAACCTTGTCATCATATGTAGATCGATGATTGATATCGTGTGATCCACTATTCTACTCCCGAGGCTGGGATCTTGGGTGATGACCCATTCTATGGACGTTTATACAACGGACGGGGTATCTGGTGCTGCAACAATTTACAGTTATCTAAAAATATTAAATTGTGTTAGAAAGAATTACTAAAAATTAACCTGTAATGGATTGTCAATCCAAAATTCTACATAATCTGAAGTTGATATGCAATTCATGCAAGGGAAGAGAGATGACGACTGTCGTTTGGTAGGTGGAGGCTTAGTGTCAAGCGACTAGCTTAATGCTTGGTGAATAGGGGCATGGTACCCAACACCTAACAGATGACGGTTTGGTGGCCACTACTAGATGACGGTCTGGTGGCCAGTACCTCGTTGGGTCCAATGATCACCCTTAACTTAGGAACCTCCTTGGGAATACAGACCTCATTGGATATGGGATCTTGAGGGACATTGAACTCGTTGGACCTGAAGGCCTCAATACATTCTTGGGTGTAGAAGGCTACCCTGATTGTACGAACGGATAGAGTAATGAGACTCCGTTGCTAAAGACATCCTCAATAGTAGAGGCTTTACTAGTAAGTAGAGACCACCTTGTTGGTGGTGATCTTCTTGATGGGTGAAAACCTACCCATTTATGTAGGTGCAGAAGGACCAGGCCTTAGTCTTCAACGATCAGGCCTTGGTAATTGGTTGCTGCTCGATATGAGATGGAGTCTGGTCTTAGACGATCAAACCTCAGTAGTGAGGGGACCAAGCATTGCTAGATGGAAAGCACCATATTGGACTGCCTGGGTTAACGTGCCAAATTTTGATTATTGTCATCGTACACTGGGTGGCATCACGCAACCCATTGTTTTGCCCCCAGTATGATGGACAGGTAATCAAGATGTAGAGTCCCGCCCTTTTATAAGAACATGGAAACCCGTTGTCAACTGATGACGTTGGGATGGTTTCCATGATCGGAAACTTTCGTCTTGCCGTCTGAGCCAAAATCGTGTCAGGATTATTATTTCTTCAGAGAACTAATCGTTCCCACAAACGGCGCCAGCTGTTGATGCATAAATCCTCACGACTCGGAACGACGACATTTACCTGCAAAACAAAGGGATGTCACCTCAAATGGCACCGGTGGGGTGCTAGCCAAGGACCCTCCGACGATTAGGTTAGTACCTGTAATCGTGTCACATAATAATTATGTTTATTCTCTTTAGGGGTTTTTTCACGAACCTTTTTTAACAGCTTGGTGCCCTATTTATGGCTGTCGATCGTAATCAAATTAGTTCCTCGGGAGATCTGCTTGTGCGAGATCAGAGGAGATCGTCTGTTGCCAGATTGTCGAGGATATGATTTACTCCTTTGACTTTCTCAAATTATGCCAAGGTTATCCTTACCCTTTTAAATCACATCGTCATTCGTTATCCTAGATAAGGAATGTCATCATTCTTATCCGATGGAAATCTTTATCTCTGATAACGAAATATGTCGAAGAGATCTGGCGGCTGGTCAAGGTAGGTTATTTTTCCCTATCAGGTCCCTTAAGCCAAACTTTAACATACCACACACATAGTATTGACAATAGACTTGGTTTGACAGGTTAGCGCGATTAATGGCCATGCGCTGGTATATTGATTCTCATGAAAGTTCCTAGGGAATAGCCCAACTCCCACGGTTGCGGCCTCACGACGAATTTCAGTTAGGTGAATCCTCCAAGAGTATATGTGACCTATACCCTGTGAGAGTATGCTCGCCTCGAATTCATTCAGGGCAAAGCCCTTCCTTAACGTCACATCACAACACGGATGCCATAGGGATGAACAGGAAAGAATCTTCTCGAGAAACTTCCTAATAAAGTAGTGTTGTCAATGAGTCACGCAGTGCAGATTATTTCTACCCATTAAACCTTTCATCATGTGATTAAATCGCCAATCAAAAGGTTGGGTTACTTCCGTAGGTGATGCCCTAGGGGCTTAGGCCCATCCCCCTCGACATTTATAGGACTGTGTCCTAATAAGACACTTGTCTTTTTAATTTTCTTTGTTTTCCTTCACAACCCAACTCTTGAATTCTCCTTTCTTTCTTCTCATTACTTTTTTTCCCTTATTTTTCTCTCTCATTTTCATTTTTCTTTTTCATCATTTTTTCTCCCTTCACCCCACCACTTCCTTCTTTTTCTCTCTCATTCTTTTTTTTTTTTTTTTTTTTTTTTTTTTTTTTTTTTTTCATAAACTAATTCATCACTAATAATACCTCATTTGAAAAATCAGAGATGGATAATTTGTTAGCGCATCCGGATACATTTACTTTTCCATTATGTTAGTTGCAACATTGCAAAGTAGCAAATTAGGAAGTGGTAAGATTGAGAGAGATGCAAGCACACACAAACACACACATACACACACCACATCGGATGAGAAAACCCGTGCGATCTCCCTCCACCACACAAAACTTTAATTTTATTAAATATGACTGGCCATGCGAGCACTCCTGCTATGGCAAAGATCCTATTACAACATATTACATATATATATATATATATATTTCTTCTTCTTCCTTTTTTTTTTTTTTTTTCTTTTTTTAACAAAATAATACTTCACCTTAAACGTATACTTTTTCTCTTCCAGGATCTTCTTATCTGCTGATATTTGTCTTCTCTTTGACTCTCTCTTTACTCTAGTGATGTCTTCTTTCCACTCATATTAGCATTCCATCTTCCTCGAGGTGCTTCAAAATTGTACCTCATAAAAATAAAACTTATTATGTCATCTATAAGGTATTTAAACAGCAAGCCCAATTGTAGAGAACTTTAATCTGACTCAATAAATCTCAAATATGACCAAAATAATAAAGAATTAATGATATGCAATACATGTACTAATTTCATCATTTTTTTTTTAAGATGCAATTAGTTTCTCTTTATAACATCATTAAATTTCCATTTAATATTGCAATATAACTTACGGGCTGATATTAATATATAGACAATTTAATTGGAAAAACCAACCTTTTCCTATTTAATTGCATTAATGGATAAATGATATTTTAAAAGCAAAAGTAACATATGAAAAATAGCTAGCATAACACTGGTCATAGCAAAGTTAAAACTCCTACCAGTTTCTTTGCTTTTCCTCTTGAATGGCGATAAAGATGGTATATAAACATGCTTTTAATAATATAATTGGGCATTTAATTACTTTCCATTTTATCATGAGAAAACCACGGTTAATGGTAATAAAATATACAAGGAAACGACCATTCATATATCATCACTTATATATACAAAAAAAACCTCTCTATAGAATGGGTGATATATAAAAATAGAAAAAATAATCAGTTTTTTTTGTATATATGAGTGATGATATATGAATGGGTGATATATAAAAATAGACATTAAGTGAGGTACAAATGAATACTATTACCACCATGCAAAAATGGCTATGCCTTACTTGACAAGTACAACAGTTAGTGAAAACATTATAGTGATTGATGGATGTATAATTTAAATATCCATAATTAAGGGAAGATTGCTAAATTAATGCACTATTGAGATAGGCTCTGCAGATTACGATAAGGATTACAGATTGAGATAGGCTTTACAGATTACGATAAGGATTAAAGATTGTGATAAGGATTAAAGATTACGATGAGGATTAAGTCTACAGATTACAATAAGGTAATTCTACGTGGCATCTTAACCTAAGCCCTATAAAAAAGGCGGGGTAATCAACGTTTGGAGGTACGCAAAAAACCCTAACTCAAGTTCTTGATTTCTTTTAAGAGATTAGTTCGCACACTGACTTATTCGTCGGAGCCTACTCCACCGGTAACACACCGGTGCTTCTAGGATCACCTTTTCTTCTCTCTGTCCAGGAAGTTAGATCAGATCCGGGTTGTGCAGAATCCATCACCAATAGTTGGCGCCGTCTGTGGGAACGATTTTAGTTCTCTAAATAAAGTATGGTTCGATTGCGATCTGGTCTGGCTACTGGCGAGGGCGAAAGGTTGCAGGCTTCTGATGCAGGGACTTCAACTGGGCAACCCCCCGTCGTCCCAAATGATCAGGAACGCGTCGCAGCGTTGGAACAACTGGTGAACCAGTTAGTCCAGCAAAATGCGATGATTCTGCAACGCTTAGCCGCCCCCAACGAGGAGAGAAACAGTGAAGTACCCAACGATGACTCCCGTAGGGTTAACAACGATGTTGAGTTAGTCAAATAGGGGGTCAACAGAGGAGCCATCACCATCGATCCCCTGAACGGAATACCACCAGGCTCCGTGAAGATACTTCTAGTTGTGTTGGAGATAAGACTAAGGACGCCACTCAGTTCGATCTAGAGTTACAGGATCTGAAAACCAAGGTTGACGATGTCATGCAAGCGATGAAAGGGAAGGGCCAGGCTGCAGTGAACGATATGGTACAAAAGACTAACCTAGCTTTTAGCCCAGCTGTTATGAGTTGTCCTCTACCTAGCAAATTCAAGATGCCAACTCTTGAGAGCTTCGATGGGACGCGGGACCCTCTCGACCATTTGGAGACCTACAAAGCTCTTATGTATTTGCAAGCCGTACTGGACGAGATTATGTGCAGGGCTTTCCCTACCACACTCAAGGGTTGGGCTCGTCTCTGGTTCAATAAATTTAAGCCAGGCTCTATTGAAAACTTTGAAGAGTTGAGCAAACAATTCATAGGACACTTCATCACTGGGCAGAAGCACAGGAGACCAGCAACACATTTACTTAATGTGAAGCAGCAGAAGGGAGAGTCCCTTCGTGATTACATAAGTCGTTTTAACACTGAAATGCTGCAAGTTGAAGAGGTGGACGACAAGGTTGCCCTCACAGCCTTTATGGGAGGACTACAGACTTCTAAGTTCCTATTTTCCTTATCAAAGGAAGCCCCTACAAGCATGACAGAGTTGATGGTTAGAGCGCGGAAGTACATGAACGCTGACGATGCTATGAATGCACGAAAAAACAAAGATGGTGAAGATAAGAGGTCGGATAAGAAGAGGCCAGCACCTAACACTAGGGAGGAAAAGGAATCGAAGTACAAGAAATTTTCAAACAACCAGGCTGACAGATCGTCTAGCCGCCCAGTAAGCCCAGGTAGGTATAATAACTATACCCCCTAAATACATCTGTAGAGCCAGTCTTTCTGCAGATTCAAGATGACACATCATTGAAATGGCCGCCAAAGCTAAAAGCTGATCCAACAAAGAGGTCTCTAGGTAAATACTGTAGGTTTCACCGGGACCATGGACATAACACAGAAGATTGTTTCGACCTCAAAAACCAGATCGAGAACCTTGTTCGTAAAGGTCATTTACGCAAATTCACAACTAGAAATGAAAAAGGAGGCTCCAACCCAGCCCGGGAGGGCCGAGATGATCGCCCTCCTCAACACCAACCAATGGGTGAGATCAAAGTTATATCGGGTGGCTTTGCTAGTGGTAGTGAGACAAGTTTGGCTCGGAGGGCTCATGCTAGGAGAATTCGGAGTTTTTCAGAGGTGAATGAAGTTGGAATGACAAGTCCTCCAACAAAATTACCTCAAGTTGAAGAGCCGGTCATAACCTTTTCTGAAGAAGATGACAAGGGAATTCACCAGCCCCATGATGACCTTCTGGTAGTTTCCATGGTCATTGCTAATTTCACTATTCGATGAATACTGATAGACAATGGTAGCTCGGCTGACATACTATTTCTTAGGGCGTACGAGAAATTGAAAATTGGCCGAGAGAAGCTCCGACCCATGAAGTCACCACTGGTGGGATTTTCAGGCGACAAAGTATATCCACTGGGGGTAGTTACCCTTCCAGTTACTGCAGGAGCCAATCCAAAGCAGGTCACTGTAATGGTGGACTTTGTAGTGGTGGACTACCCATCATCATATAATTTTATCCTGGGGAGGACAACATTGAATGCCATGAAAGCAATCACGTCCACTTACCATCTTCTGATGCGTTTCCCAACTGAATATGGTATGGGAGAGCTAAGAGAGGACCAAACAATAGCTCGCGAATGTTATGTCGCCTCTCTCAGAAAACAAAATCGCAAGAGGCATTTAAGATTAAAGGGCTGGAAGGGAAAGATAGACCAGACTTTCATAGAGCGGAACCTACAGAAGAGCTAGAAGAGGTCATCCTTGGTGATGGTGAGCCCGAGAAAAAAGTGAGTATAGGGTCTTTACTCCCCTCAGGTATCAAAGATGAACTTACTCAATTCCTCAGGAAGAATCGAGACGTATTTGCATGAAGACATGCCGGGTATAGACCCCACTATCATGGAACACCGCTTAAATGTAAATCCTGACTTTAAACCTGTCAGACAAAAGATGAGGACTTTCGTTCCAGAAAGGAATCAGGCTATATCAGAAGAGGTGAAAAAGCTCTTAAAAGTCGACTTTATTCACGAGGTGTACTACCCCGACTGGCTGGAAAATGTGGTCTTAGTGAAGAAGGCAAATGGAAGTGGAGGCTATGTGTGGATTTCACCGACCTTAACAAAGCTTGCCTGAATGACAGCTTTCCTCTCCCAAGAATCGATATGCTCGTTGAGGGAATGGCTGGACACGAACTATTAAGTTTCATGGATGCATATTTTGGATACAACCAGATATCTATGTACACCTCAGATAGAGAAAAAATGGCCTTCATCACTGATAGAGGTTTGTACTGTTATAAAGTAATGCCGTTTGGGCTCAAGAACGCTGGTGCAACATACCAAAGGCTAGTGAATGCAATGTTTAAGCATCAAATTGGTAGAAACATGGAGGTATATGTTGATGACATGTTGGTGGAAAGCTTAAAAGCTGAAGACCATTTGACTGACCTGCAGGAGACCTTCGAGGTACTTAGGAGGCATAAGATGAAACTCAACCCTAGCAAGTGTGCCTTTGGGGTTTCCTCAGGAAAGTTCTTAAGATATATAGTAAGCAGAAGAGGAATTGAGGCCAATCCAGAGAAGATCCAAGCAGTCATTGACATGAGATCGCCAATATCAACCAAGGATCTACAATGACTAACAGGAAAGATTGATGCCTTGAGTAGGCTAATCTCTCGATCAACTGACAGGTGCCTACCTTTCTTTCGTGTGCTAAGGAAGGCGTTAGAATGGACCCTAGAGTGTAAGCAGGCATTCAAAGAACTAAAGCAATACCTTAGTTCTCCCCCACTAGTGTCTCGAACCATACCGGGAGAGGAACTATACATATACCTTGCAGTCTCCACGACAGCTGTCAGTTCAGCTCTGATACGAGAAGAAGAAGGGGTCTAAAGGCCAGTATACTTCGTGAGCAGAGCACTTAGGGGTGCGGAGGAAAGATATCCAAGGATGGAATAGTTGGCTTTTGCTTTAATTGTGTCCGCCAGGAAACTGAGACCATACTTTCAAGCGCATACGATAGTGGTCCTAACATATCAACCCCTTCGACAGGTCCTACACAAGCCAGAAAGCTCTAGTCGACTGATGAAGTGGTCAGTAGAGTTAGAAGAGTTCGACATTCAGTATAAGCCAAGAACAACAGTAAAGGCTCAGGTGTTGGCTGATTTCTTAGCTGAGTTTACCCCTCCATAAGAGGAGAAACAACCCCAATTTTCGACAGAACAAGGTTTAAATGAGCAGATGGGCCCAGAAGTAGTCTGGGACTTGTTCGTGGATGGGACATCTAATGTTCAGGTTAGCGGAGCCGGGCTTGTTCTTGTCTCCCTAGAGGGAGAAAGTATACAGTACGCACTTCGGTTTGGTTTCAAAGTAACCAACAACAAAACAGAGTACGAAGCCTTGATAGCAGGATTAAAAGTGGCAAATGCCCTAGGGGTTGAGCAATTAAATATGTACACCGACTCCGAGCTGGTCGCTGGACAAGTTCAAGCGGAATATGAGGCACAAGACGAGAAGATGAAGAGTTACCTACAAAAGGTGAAGGAATTAAAGAATCACTTCCAAAGATTCTCAATTCATCAAATACTACGAGAAGAGAATGGGAAAGCAGACACTTTAGCCCGGCTAGCTACTGCATTGAACCTGAGATCAATAAAAATATACCACTGGAATATTTGGAAGAACCATCTATATTTCAGGAGAGACAAATTGAAGTGCAACAAGCGATATTGAGTGTGGAATGGGCAGATCCTATTATCAGATATATCAAGGATAGGGTGCTACCAACAGACCGAGCAGAAGCTCGAAAGGTCAAGATACGGGCAGCTAGGTATACGCTTATCAAAGGGGTGCTCTACAAGAGAAGCTTCTCCATACCGTATTTACGATACGTTTCTAGCGAGGAAGCTGACTACATTTTAAGGGAGATCCACCTAAGAGTTTATGGAAACCATGCTGGGGGTAGGTCATTTGTTAACAAGGCCATCCGGCTAGGATACTATTGGCCCACCATGCAGAAATATGCACTTAACTTCGTTAAAAAGTGCGACAAGTGTCAACGATTTGCCAGCATCCCGCGACAACCATCAGAGGAGATGACTCTCATGTCAAGACCACACCTCTTTCCCCCTTAAAAGAATAAAGGGTCAGCTTCATCTTCTTCCCTCGTAAAAAGATGAGGGGTTAACTACTTCCCTTGTTAAAGGGTGAGCTGAGTGAAGCTCATATTAATCTACTTCCCCTGTTAAAGGGTGACCTGGGTGAAGCTCGTATTAATCTATTTCCCCTGTTAAAGGGTGAGATGAGTGAAGCTCATAGTAATCTACTTCCCTCGTAAAAAGATGAGGGGTTAACTACTTCCCTTGTTAAAGGGTGAGCTGAGTGAAGCTCATAGTAATCTACTTCCCCTGTTAAATGGTGACCTGGGTGAAGCTCGTATTAATCTACTTCCCCTGTTAAAGGGTGACCTGGGTGAAGCTCGTATTAATCTACTTCCCTTGTTAAAGGGGGAGATGAGTGAAGCTCATAGTAATCTACTTCCCTCGTTAAAAGGTGAGCTGGGTGAAGCTCATAGTAATCTACTTCCCCGATGAGTGAAGCTCATAGTAATCTACTTCCCTCGTTAAAAGGTGAGCTGGGTGAAGCTCATAGTAATCTACTTCCCCTGTTAAAGGGTGAGCTGAGTGAAGCTTGTATTCATCTACTTACCTTATTACGAGCTACGTGAAACTCATCTTAATCTACTTTCCTTATTAAAGGGACGAGCCGACTAAAGATGTCAATAAAATCAAGTATAAAATAACGGTAGCATGCCAGCAGGGCAGCTTGCCAAATAATGGGAGCATGCCAGCAGGGCAGCTTGCCAAATAAAGGCAGCATGCCAGCAGGACAGCTTACCAAATAATGGGAGCATGCCAGCAGGGCAGCTTGCCAAATAAAGGCAGTATGCCAGCAAGGCAGCTTACCAAATAAAGGCAGCATGCCAGCAAGACAGCTTGCCAAATAAAGGCAGCATGTCAGCGGGGCAGCTTGCCAAATAACGGCAGCATGCTGGCAGGGCAGCTTGCCAAATAACGGCAGCATGCTAGCATAACAGCTTGCCAAATAAAGGCAGCATGCCAACAGGGCAGCTTGCCAAATAAAAGCAGCATGCCCGCCAAATAAAGGCAGCATGCCAGCAGGGCAGCTTGCCAAATAACGACAGCATGCCAGCATGACAGCTTGCCAAATAAAGGCAGCATGTCAGCAGGGCAGCTTGCCAAATAACGGCAGCATACTGGCAGGGCAGCTTACCAAATAACAGCAGCATGCTAGCATAACAGCTTGCCAAATAAAGGCAGCATGCCAGCAGGGCAACCTGCCAAATAACGGTAGCATGCCAGCAGGACAGCTTGCCACGGCAGCATAGCATGGCAGCTTGCCACATAACGGTAGACTACCAGCATGGCAGCTTGCCACATATACGAGCTGCCAATGTGGCACTACGACAAATATACAAGCTTACCAATATACGATAAATATACGAGCTTGCCACATATACGAGCTGCCAATGTGATACTATGACCCCCGACTGTATTCGCGAAATGACAATATAAGTCAGGCTAATGGACAAGGCTCTGCAATTCTAACTATATATTATTGTGTGATATTTTGGAATTAACGTTCCGGTGGTTTGACAAGCAATCCTCTGAAACGGGGAGCAACTGATGGATGTATAATTTAAATATCCATAATTAAGGGAAGATTGCTAAATTAACGCACTATTGAGATAGGCTCTGTAGATTACGATAAGGATTACAGATTGAGATAGGCTTTACAGATTACGATAAGGATTAAAGATTGTGATAAGGATTAAAGATTACGATGAGGATTAAGTCTACAGATTACAATAAGGTAATTCTACGTGACATCTTAACCTAAGCCCTATAAAAAAGGCAGGGTAATCAACTTTTGGAGGTACGCAAAAAACCCTAACTCAAGTTCTTGATTTCTCTTAAGAGATTAGTTCGCACACTAACTTATTCGTCGGAGCCTACTCCACCGGTAACACACCGGTGCTTGTAGGATCACCTTTTCTTCTCTCTGTCCAGGAAGTTAGATCAGATCCGGGTTGAGCAGAATCCATCATCAACAGTGATTAAAAGGCATAATACAGTAGAGTATCACATTCATCTCAATACATCACAATTCTAATTTTATATAATTTACCACAATAAAAGAAAAATTTAAGGAATTATATAACTACTATTAATTTATCATCAATGTGCCATTCCAAGGCCCATA